AACAAACAAACAAAAATCCAAAACACAATTTTCTAGATATATTAGGGATCTTGAATCATTGTCCTGCAAGTAATCAAAAGCCCAATGGTGACAAATACTATTCAACACTAGACTGCAGAAGAATGGCAAATTAAGGGCCCAGAAGAGAGTTCAGGGGAGCAGAGACACATGCCTAAGTTTCCATTCCTAGCACCACACAGTTCCTTTCCAATTCTAGGTATAGCCCTAGTGGCCTACAAGAAGTCTGCCTTATCGGTCCTTAGCATTGAATATCTAGCCCAACTGGTCCCCTGTCACCAGGCACATCCCCAGGGACCTCTGAGCACTGCTGAAAGGCTCTACTCTGAACCCCCCAAGATGTAAAGAGAATACAAACTAGTTCCTTCAATTATGTCTGCTCCAGAAATGGACGACATCAGTGTTCTGATTCAAGAGTGGATTCTTCCAGATCACCAGTTACCTCTAATCACAACTTTCTTGTTTGGGGGTGCTGGAGCGATAGCACAGCAGTAGGACGTTTGCCTTGCATGCAGCCAACATGGCCGACCCGAGTTCGATTCCTCCGCCCCTCTCGGAGAGCCTGGCAAGCTACCGAGAGTATCTCGCCCACACAGCAGAGCCTGGCAAGCCACCCGTGATGTATTCGATATGCCAAACACAGTAACAACAAAATCTCCAATGGAGACGTTACTGGGCCTGCTCGAGCAGGATTTATTTATTTATTTTTTGAGTTTTGTTTGTTGGGTTTTTTAGTTTGTTTGGTTGTTTTTTGGTTTTTTGTTTTTTGGGTCACACCCACCGTTGCTCAGGGGTTACTCCTGGCTCTTCACTCAGGAATCACTCCTGGCAGTGCTTGGGGGACCATATGGAATGCTAGGAATCGAACCTGGGTCGGCTGGGTGCAAGGCAAATGCCCTACCTACGTTAGCAATAGCAAACGTACTATCATCACTCCAGTCCTGGTGCTCAGGGTTTAATCCTGGCTCTATACTCAGGGCTCACTCTCACAGGCCCGGGGGACTATATGTATGCCAAGATTGAACCAGAGTCAATTGCATGCAAGCCAAGTACCTTTCCCCCCTGTATTACCTCTATATCCCTCAATATCAGCTTTCCAAACTTTTCTGTCCTAACATGGCTTTCAAGACCTCCCGGACTCCCACAAAAAAAAACAGGGATCTTGTGAGGATGCACATCCTGATGGAGCAAGGCGGGACCATGCAAAGACCAACTGAAACCCACGCTCTGATGGGGAGGTCCAAGCAGCAGCTGTAGAGCTCCCCCAAGGACCTCCTTCTAGAGCTAAGGTCACACCTACAGCTAGAAGATGCAAAATGCAGAAAGGCCCCAGGATTGACCTAACTGCTGGCACTCACGGCAGCTTCATTCTGCCCACTGCATCAGCAGGAAATACACACACACACACACACACACACACACACTTGAATGCACACACATGCATACACTGCACACATATACACACACACACTACACGTGCACACACACTGACTTCAGAGCTGTGAAGACCCCCAGAGGCTACCGAGGTCCTTGCTCTGTTCCCAAGAACACTACCTCACTTGCCTACCTTTGCTGTCTTTGCTCCATTCTCTCCGGACAAGCCTGTGTTCTCTTTTGAACACGCACTTCTCTCTTTCCCTTCCCTTACATCTTTCTAAGCAAATTTTGTTCAATAAAAACAATCCTGCTTCACCATTTTGCTTCCTCCTGCAATTCTTTTCTTCTGTAAGGGAAAGGTGAGGAACCAGAACAGCTGTGCAGAGGTGAGGACTGATGTTCCTTCCCTGTGAAGTGTGATTCCTTGCTCCAGCCTAAGTCCATAGCTCCCTGAAAAAGTGGGTGTTGGGATCATCTCCCATGTCATGCAGAATAAGTGGATTCCAGGCTCAGACTGACTGCCTTGATAAGCAGACAGGGCGTGAACATCCAGGACCGTTAGGTGCTCACAGCAGACTTTACCAGCCCTGACGCAAGCCCGGTATTTCTCCAAGAACTGGTGACCAAGGTGGGTCAAACAGAGAGGTGGGAGCGCTCTTTCCTTGAGTCTACATCCCTCACTCCTCACTTAGCTTAGCCATGGGAAACAAGATAATAAGAAGGCAGCCCTGGGTGAGCAAAGGCTAGACACACTAGGATAAATCATTTTTGCTGGGGTCAGAGAGATGGTACAGGAGGTAAGACTCTTGCCTTGCATACAGACCCCGTAGCTGCAATCTTGGTTCAAATCCCTGCCACCATATATAGTTCCCTGAGCACAGAGCCAGGAGTATCCCCTGAGCACAAGAGGGTAAGGCCCCGAATCTGAAATAAAGGAGAATTTTAAAAACAAAACAAAAATTGAAGTTACCTAGGTAAAGTATCTACTAAGGTCTCTGAGACAGTGAATCATACAACTGTGGATTCTTCTTCAGGTGGGTGCATGCAGCTGGAAGGAAACCAAATTTGTAAGAAAATGGAGTCCTGGATAAACCTCTATGTTAAATGAAGATAAAAGAAGCTGTACTGAGGGGGGCTACCAAGAGGGTGGATGAGAGCAGTGTGAAGAGGTGGCATGGGCCTGTACAGTCTGTGACATGCAGGTGTTAGCAGTCTAACAGCTGCCCTTCCCTGGGGCCCTCAGTGATGCTCCAGGCACTCTCCTCCTGCTCAAGGATGCTCCAGCCAGAAGCTAAGAACTTGTATTACTCAGAGTAGAAGAGCATCAGAGCCTCAACAGACTGTCCAAGCGTCAGCCACACCAGGTGCCAGGCTTGAGAGGGGTCAGAGATGGCAAACCCGCATTCAGGTGGGGTCCCCATGTCTCCCTGGACACTGTAAGGTCAAAAGCTTCAAAAAAGGTGACGTCTCGAGAGGTCAGCATGAATGAGACAGGAGAGCAGGATTCAGACAGGGAAGGGGACCGGGCAGGGGCTTTGTACCCTATGGGGTGGCGAGACAACGGTGCCAGGGAGCTGGGGTTTGGCCACCCTACATTGGGAACCAGGACCAGGCTTCCCCGCTCTCTTTATGCCCTCCTCTCATCCTTCTCTTTTCTGGTCCCCATTTTTTTCTCGCAGCTGTTCTTAAGAGCCTCTATCCAAGCACCTCCTTGATGCCTCTCCCGGCCAGCTGTGGAATGAGAGTTTGAAGGGCACTACCCCACACCACTGCAGGGAGGTACTTAATGACCAGAGAGGGAGGTCAGGGCAGAAGGCAGGGTATCTGGCCAGTCAGGAGGAACGCCTGAAGAAGATTCTGGAGAGCTCAACCTCATGTGTTCTCTTCTGAACCCACTTCAAAAAATGCCAGAAGAATCAATTTTAAGGTCCATGAATGTTGTGATTTGGGGGCCACATCTGGCAGTGCTCAGGGCTTATTCCTGACTCTGTCTAGGAAGAATTTGAACAGTCTAGGAAGAACTTACCCAGTACAGCACCCACAAAATATCCCCTTCCCACTACAGTTAATGCAGAGGCTAAGAGATCTACAGAGTTTGCTCAGAGGTCCCAGAGCACAGAGCAACAAGACTGCCCACACTGGGCCCCTTGCTGAAACGCCTCGACAGGAACTCAGCCAAGGCTGATGGAGCAGTGGGCTCTGCACCAGTGTCTCCCCACACAGGGTCTCCTGTTCCCTCAGAACAGCTTCCTGCAGCGGGAGAGCTGACCCAGGCACCTTCGTGCCCACAATTGCCTAGAGACTCAAAAGGAGCCCTGGGACCATGTGGTGACAGCTCTAGCCAGTGAGAAGATGGGGTCCCATCCACATCTGTGGGACGCCCCAGCCAGTGTCACTCACATACAACATTCCAGACCTCTGCCTACCTGCCCTGCTCACTTCCCACTATCCACACTATTCAAAATGCTTCAAGTTCATCAGACTCACCAGAACAGACAATATAATCATCACTAGAAATTAGAGATTGCTTTACCACATTTCTTTTTTTCTTTCTTAAATTTCTTTTCTTGTGTGTGTGTGTGTGTGTGTATGTGTGTGTGTGTGTGTGTGCGTGTTGATTTTTGGGCCACACCTGGCAGTGCTCAGGGCTTCTTCCTGACTCAGGAATTACTCCCGGTGGGATTTAGGGGACTGAATCCAAGGATCAAATCCAGGGGTCGAACCCTAGTCAACTTTGTGCAAAGCAAGTGTATTTCCTGCTGTACTGTCTCTCTGTCCCCCTTAATTTCTTTTCTTTATAAGGAAACACCCAGTTGTGTGGGGGGAAGAGATAGGGGTCATTCCTGGAGAGACTCTGACCAGGAGTGTAGACCTGATGGGTTAAATGTCTTTTGAAGTGAGAATGTTTCCCTCAGAAACATTCAGAAAGGCTCAGAAGGATGAAGAGGCTCCCCATGCTGTTAAGGGAATCAGACATAGAGGCAGGAATCAAATTTAATGGCCCCTGTGTCTCAGGCTGCAGCTCTGGGCCCCAGCCAGACTGGAATGGTTCCCTTCAAAATGTGCAAACTGTCCTCCAGGGGACAGATCAACATCACCTCAGGGACACCCAACTTCTCCACAGGCACATTTCTAAGAGAAGACTCCTAGGAGCAGTGCTGTTAGGTGGCCTGCCACCACATTCAAACAAATAAATCTGGGGGAGAAAAGCCAAGACAGAGAGGGAGGGCACTCCTAACCAATAACTTGATTCCCCGGAGTCTTCCCAGTTCTGCAAAGAAAATCACAACAACCCATGTTGCCAGACCTTACTTTGCCGTGACGCCTTTCCTCTAGAGAAAAGGGGCCTGCAGGATACTAAGGCACAACCCACCGTGCAACAGAAACAGCTTGATAATACGTCACATGTTTTCTCAAGCTCCCACTTGAGAGAGCTGGGAAAGAGAGTAGCATTTTCTCAGGCCCAGTCATCATGGGACCGGAGTCCCTTGGCTCTACAGTGCTGTAAATGCCAATGTTCATTTATTTGATGCAGTGTTTGGCTTTTTAGCACCTCCCAATGCAGAGCGGAAACGAAATTTCCATTTAAGTCATCAGATTCTCACCTGTGAAAGCATTTGTGGCCTGGAAACCAGCTTCCGGCATACTGCTCCCCAGACTAGTCTGTGCTCCAATGCTTAAGCTGTCCTGCCAAGAGGAAACCGCCTGGGCGAGGCCTCAGGTCACTTCCATCTTAGCTGCTCGGAGTCCATTGCACTGCCCCGTCCGGCTTGGGGTAGCATCTGATGCCCACCTGCCCTGCTCCCAGTCCCTGCGAGCAGGTGGTAGCCGGGATAGCGCCCAGTCCAGGAGCGTGCACACTGGGAGCACGAAGGCACGTCAGCCGTCCAGCCAGAGAGAGGAGGCCATGGTGATCCCGGATCTGAGGAACCTGTCCCGCTGAGACCGCTGCACCCTTAGAGCCTCCTCAGCCTCCTGGCAGCCGACATCCTCCGGGCTCTGACACTCCAGGGGTGTCAGCGAGCTTTGATTTGTGGTGCGCTGTGCTTCCTCTCAGCCCTTGCTGAAATTAAAAAGAAAGAGATCAGTTTCCTGATGACTTGCAGGAACATTCCAGCTAGCAAACCCAGAGAGGCCTCCAAAAGGAAAAGAAGTCACTCAAAGCTGTGCTCCAAGTGGGACCCCTCTGTGGACAGTGGGGGCGCTCTGGAGAAGGGGCCATGAAACTTCTTCTGGGTGACTTTGAGAGGGGGCAGTGGGGAGAATCTGCACCCCAGAAGAAGACAATTTATTGCGCTAAGCCTCTCGATGACCAGCCACAAAGGTCACACAAAGTCCAGATGTCTTTCCTTCCCCAAGTCACTCACAGACGCCCCAGGAGAAATGCATTCCCACGGGGTCAAAGCAGTGTTCAGTGGGTAGGGCTTTTCCTTGCTTGTGACCCAAATCAGGTTTTGGATCTCTGGCACCCTCTATGGTCCCCATGTGGTGTTCCTGATCACCACTACAAGTAATCCCTGAGTGCAGAGCCATGAGTAACCCCTGAGCACCACTGAGTGTGCCCCCCAAACAAAAACAAACAAAAAAGAGAAAGAAATACATTCCCAAATTGATTCCCGAGGACCTGAATTGAGAAGTTTTACAGAGCAATGTTTCTGGAGAGTAAACAAAGGCTCCTGTGAATTTAAAAAATTTAACCTGTGGAGACTGGAAAGTAGGGCAGTATTTTTCATGTAGCTAACCCAGTTTGATCCCCAGCACCCCATATGGTCCCCCGAGCCCTTTCAGATCCCTGAGCAGAGCCAGGAGTAAGCCCTAAGCACAGCTAGGAATGCCCTCCCAACCCACAATGTAATCTATAAATTCTTCATATATCACATAATAATAAAAGCATTTTAAAACAGGTATTTCAGGGGCTGGAGTGATAGTACAGAGGGTAGGGCATTTGCCTTGCATGCAGCCAACTCAGGTTCGATTCCCAGCATCCCATATGTCCCCTGAGCACCGCCAGGAGTAATTTCTGAGTGCAAAGCTAGGAGTAGCCTCTGTGTATCGCTGGGTGTGACCCCAAAAGCAAGAAAACAAAAACAAAAACAAAAACAAAACCCCAGGTATTTCATACTATATCATACCATTTCATATTATATCATAAAGAAGCAATAATAAAAGTAACAGAAGCTCAAAGGATGCAATTTTAAGAACAGAACAAGAATCTTGGGGCTGAAGAAATAATACAGAAGCACTTGCCTTGCACATAGCCAACCTAGGTTCAATCCCCAGCAACCATATGGTCTACAGAGCATCAGTGGGGTGTGATACCTGAGCACGGAGCCAAGAGTAAGCCCTGAGCATCTCCAGGTGTGTCCCCCCTCAAAAAAAATCCACTACTGGAGAAAAGAAACTGTTATTCTCCATTGTTATCACTTCATCTTAATTGGTTGACAGCTTTAAAAATGATAACTTTACTCCTCTTTCTAACCACCAAAATGGAGACTTAAGAGAACAACAAAAGAGAAGATGCCCTCTTGTTACCGTAAGTAAAAATATAATGAAACAGTACAAATACAAACTGCATGGCAGACTTTATGCAGTAATGAAGCACTTTAGTTATATCAAGAAATTAAACTGCATTGTCTCCACATTCCTGAGATAACTATCTTAATCAAGCCATAAATGGACCAGAATCCTTAGTTTACGCATAGGATAAAATGTATTTTAGGGGCTGGAGAAATAGTACAGCAGGTAGGACACTTGTCTTGCATGTGGCTGATCCAAATTTGATTCCTGGATACCACAAATGGTTCCCTGAGCACCACAGAGTCTGAGACCAAAATAATAAATAAATATTTAAATGTATTTTTGAAGTCCTTTATGTAAATGGAGGTTTTGAAATTCTTAAAAACATGAGAAACCATTTTTCTCTGAATTTAAATATTCTATTTAAAATGACCTGTATATACAATATCAGCATCTCAAAGAAGCATACCAACTGATAAATTAAGCACATGCACTATGACGATACATTTTTGGAAACAGTCTGATTTAAAAAAAAATGAAAGTCCACTATAAATGTCATATATAAACGTGTTGATTTTCAATGGTACACTCAAAAAAGAGTTCCAACACAATATGTTGTCAATAAAAAATTGTTATGAATAATACCCTCAAAAGGCCACTTTTACCCCTAAAACTCTGATTTTGTTTGCCCTGTTCAATGATGGTTTACTACACAGAAATGCTAGATTTTATTTCTCTTCTGTCTCTGAACTTAGACAGACTACAGTATAGTGGGGTTTTTGTTGTTTTACTGAAGTCTGTTATTTCAAGTCATTACAGAAGGATGTTACCTTACTTTTTTGCAAAAGCCAGTTACTCCATTTCTCACACTGCAAGTAAATATGGTAGAGACTGAGGCAGAGGTGGGAGATTATAGAAGAAAATTCAACTTATAATTTTTTTATTATCTTTATCTCTCTTACCAGTTCCTTATTTTATTCCTCTAAAAGAGAGGTGAAGCTATGGCTATGGGTGCACCATAGCTCCGCGGGAGGTCTCGGGTGTGGGCTCAGCGAGGACTTTTCCAGAATGTTGTATCTGAATGTTTGAGCATTTCCCAATTGTGCTGTCTCAATGACTTGCACATTCCTACACACACCCAAAGTCCCCTTCAGTGCCATTTTCATGTGAAAATTAAGCTGAAACTGCCTTAAACTTTTTCTCCCCCTAATCACTAACTACCCTGCTACATTCCCCTTTCTAGAAACATCCAAGCAAGAGAAAGGTTCTCAGAAGCTGGGAGTCTGTTCTGCTCAATGAGAGATCCCAACCATTTCAAACAGGGCTGGGGACAGTAGGGTTCAGCTAGGAAGTGTCAGACTCACGGAAGGGCTGGGGAACAGAGGTGGAGGTGCATCAGAACCTGATCAGTTGAGGCCCAGCACAGCTGGCTCCTCAGCTTAACAACCAACCAAGAATCAGTCACAAGTCAGAAAAGCTGAATGCACAGAGCTGGGCCACTGCTGGCTTCTTCCACTCTCACGTGACAGGTTCCTGCTGGTGCTGAGCCCTTGACCTTCTCGCCTCAGCTCCCACAACCCTCCTCAGAGTTGCCTCCTTGAGTGTCCCAAACTAAATTCAGAGCCCAGACACCCCGCTTCCTGGCACCTGTCATGGTCACGTGTGTGTGTGTGTGTGTGTGTGTGTGTGTGTGTGTGTGTGGTGAGGAAGGCTGGGGGGAGGAGCAAGACGGGTCAGTGCAGTCTCCTACTGGACAGTCAGAGGCACTGGCTCCCTCTCCCTTCCCTCAGCACCAAAGCCCAACAGCCCGCAGGTCCAAGGTAAATCTTGTTCATTGAGTGAATGGAGGCATGTTCTGAAAGGAAGCAGAAGGCAGAGCTCTGCAAACTCCAGCTAAGCACACCCAACAGGCATTTCCTGGCTGAGGGACAGTCCCCACAGTCCCACTCTAAGGCTCCAAAGCCCAGGCCTCTTCCTACCTTGTCAAGACAGGATGATTCCTCCAGCACTCACATCACACAATGTCCTGGCCAGTCAAGGCTTCAGTGGTTCCTACCTTAAATTCCCTCAAATCACATAGAAAACTCTCACCCCGAAGAGGTAAAATAACTGAGTTCCCCAAGTTCTGTGGATAGAAGAGGCAGGACCAGCTTCTGGGTCTCTCACCACTCCAGTCCTTGCTCTTAATGTGCTGCTTCTGAGTGGTAGAAAGCAGGCCTGGAGACCAGTATGACTCAACTCTGAAAAAGCTGAGAGAGGCAAGAAAAAGAGAAGCCACTTACCCAGGAGGTAAGGTCACAGAGTATCACAGAGCTCAGAGCCCTTTCCACAGCATACACATGACCACTACCCTCACACACACACACACACACACACACACACACACACACACACACACTCACAGATGTGCTCTTTATACTGGGAAGATGGGCAGGACTAACCAGGAAATAAATTAATTCAATAATGCACTTGAAAAAATGTCACAAAGTCCCTCCCATAACAGAGTAACAGTTACTAAGGAAATAGAATAACACACCAAACGGAAAAACACCCCCTCAAGAAGGGACATTTCTTGGGGGATGGAGTGATAGCACAGCGGGTAGGGTGTTTGCCTTGCACGCGGCTGACCCGGGTTCGATTCCCAGCATCCCATATGGTCCCCTGAGCACCACCAGGAGTAATTCCTGAGTGCAAAGCCAGGAGTTAACCCCTGTGCATCATTGAGTGTGACCCAAAAAGAAAAAAAAAAAAAAAGAAGGGACATTTTTTAAAAAAACACGATCTTCCACCAAACTAACCAAATCAGTTGTGGAATAAAGTGTGTGTGTGTGTGTGTGTGTGTGTGTGTGTGTGTGTGTGTGTGTGTGTTTTACCACTTGTTCTTATGAACTGTCCTTTTAGGACTCACAAGGAAATGAACATGTAACTGCCTCCAGCAGCTCACAGCATTCAGGAAAATGCTGTTGTACCTGACAAAGAGACAAGGAGCAGGAACACCCATGGGACACAGAGGTCGAAAGACACCCGAGACCTGGAACAACTGTTTTTCACAACTCAGGAACATTCACCATGATGGTGCATCAAGAAACACTGTACTTTTCCTTTGAGCTTCCGCTGCTGCCCAGCTGAGCGGCGGTTACCTAGGTGATGACTAGACTGGGCAGCCACAAGCTCCAGCCACCATGACTCCAGGAGCAGAGGCTGGAGTCTACGTCTGGCGGCCTGTCACAGCTCTATCCACCAGAGAAATCCCTGGCAAGGAGAACACTCTCTCACTCTAACCTTACAATCGAAGGCACTGTTGAGTCTCTCACTCTAACCTTACAACCGAAAGCACTGTTGTTTAAACAAAAAGTTTTTAATAATAAAATAAAAGCATTGAACTGTACACTTACTAACGAATCTCCACTACTGACTGGCTCATCTAAGTTCTTAGTGATGGTGGCAGTGGAGACTGGCAATACAGAGAGACAAGGAAAAAGTGGAGAAAAGAAACCCGAGGATCTATTTCTGACCCAACCTTGAATCAGGTGTCGCTTGGGAGAG